TTCCCGGCGATTCCCGGGTTTTTGCCGGCGAATTCCAACTCCTCCCTCACACCTCTGGACACGGGAATTTGCTGGGAAATCGGTGGCAAGTATGCGGGAAATTTCCATGCTCCTGGACACGTAGGACTAGTCATTGTTTGCCAAGCTTTTTTGGTCTTAAGTGGTCAGTTTGTCAGCTTGTGTGGGTGAGTGTTGACATGGCTGATGATATGAAGCAGCTCCCAAGCCAACGCCTGTGACTCCAAGGTCAACAAGGTCTGAGATTGGAGGTATTGGAGGACCACATCCCCTTGATAGAGGTGATGACCTGGTGATGGATGATGGTTGATATGATTCTGTGTGAACACTGCATCCTGTGAGAGGAGTACCCTTTGTGAGCGAGTTTTTATAAGAAACATGAAAGAGTTTTGCTAGAGAGGTTTTTAGGGGCCAAAGGATATTGGATACTAGCCAAAAAGAAAGTAAATAATAAACAAAAACAAAAACCAATTATACTTCTTTTTCTGGGGGACCTGGGATTGATTAATAGGGGGAGGTTTCTGGTAGAGACCAACACATATTAGGGTGATGTCCATGTGGAATTCAGGTTTTTAAATTGGTTTAGTATTGGAGGGGTCGAGCTGGGATCGATTAATAGGAGGTGGTTGCTTAATCCTAGGTGCGCATTAGACGCGACTCAGGTTGTGCCCCCGGAGCCACCTGCCGTGTTCAGGCGGAAGTCTTCGCAAGCGTCTGGAGCTCAGATGTGGTTGTGAGATAGTAGCTTGGAATATGTTCAGTTTCAATTTTGTCAGGTCCTTGCAAACGCTGCTGCGTGGGCAGGAGTTGCTTGGTGGTAGCTCTCTTCCTCTGGTGGTTGTCCACTTAACTCAGGCATATTAGTACTCCTTTCTCTTCGGCGCCATTTTTTGACGCAAGCTAACAAGGGGTATGACCTTGCGCCGGAGAATGAAAAAGGAGCAAGGACGCTACTTCCTGGCATCGCTAGGAGCAAAGGATCCTGGCCTTACTAGTAGGAGCAAAGGACGCTACTAGGGGAGGGGCTCCTGGCCTTACTACTGGGAGCAAGAAGCTACTAGGGGCTCAGGAACTAAGGACGCTACTAGGGGCTCCTGGCATCGCTACTAGGAGCAAAGGAC